GTGACATTATTTTAACAATATCACTTTATGGCTTTTTTTCATGAACATTTCAAAAGCAACCTCATGCTCCAAAATGTTTTTTTTTTTTTTTCTTTTTTTTTTTTTTTCCCTCCTGATTCTTAACTATTCGTGAGAGAAATATCTTTAATTTGGATTACCTGCAATGTTAAAACAACATGAGACCCAGGAGTGAAACCCTTCATGAAAACTAAGCTTTCACGTCACTTTTGTGTGTGGTTGTGTAAGGAGCTGTATGGGACAGCTCTACAAAGAAAAAAGGTTGTGATTTGTAGACTCGAAATTAATAGCATTAGAAAGAATTGCCTTCTATACTCTTTGCTAAGCTTGTCAGGGAGGCTTTTTATAAGAAATGGCATCTGGATCTACTTAAAAGCAAAAAAGCAACATCAACTAGAAAAATTAAATATGAGTGAAATATGAACTCTGTTGCTATCTGCTACCATAAGTGCAGATAACAGAAATGAAGGAAATAAAAGACACATGATGTATCATTTTTTTTATTACATTTGTGAGAGAATGCATGTGCATAAATTCCTCTTGCTGAGTAATACTCTCAAATGGCATCAACTACAACATGCAAACTAATTTTTGAATAGAGGTCTCAGAGGTGATAATTAGTAAGAAATAAGTTTCGTGACCAACATTATATTACCAGAAAAATTCCAACACATTCTCTTTATAGTTGCAAATTGACATTTGATTTAATAATGGGATTTTAACTTATGTAATGAGGTTAGTGCACATGAGCCCAATCTCTAGTACTTTACTCTAGTTCTCAGTGTGTTTTGGCATGAGCCTTATGTGTTTATATGCCACAAAGAGAAATGTTAACTTTTCTCGTCATGTCACCCTGTAACAGTGTGAATTAATCCTTGAAAATCTGAATTACCCTAACCTCACACAGACTGAATTGTCTTGAAACTCTCAGGCAGGTTCTTGTGCTTCTTACTTTGAGACTTTTACCTGAAGGCATTTTAATTGTTTGACTGTGCAATAAGGATTACATAGAAACTGTTCCGCGATATTTTGAAATGCTGCTGCCCTCCAGAACAAAATTTCATTAAAAAAAAACCATCAAGTTGCTATGTCTAAATAAATAAAAAGCAAACAAACAACAGAGGTACCAATGAGAAATACTAACAAAGTAACTATTCTCCTGCTAAGTGTCATATTAATAATAAAACCACGTTATACTGGTTTATCAGTTTTTATTGCTGCAGTTTACAAATACAGAAAAGGCAAGGAACAAAGCTAAAGTTTGGGGAATATCTGTTGAGTGGAAGAGGGATCTTGCAAACTTGTTGTTGATGTTGATGGGTGATTAACTACCGCCCACGCCACTCAGTTGGACTGGCCTTGCTGAAAATGAAGATAAAGTATCAATCATTAGAAAGCAAATAAATACGATCATTAGATTTTAAAAGCTGTGTATAAGGAAGAGGCAATCATGTTGGTACAAATGTCTAAACCTGCAGACACAAGGCAGACAGAATGCAAAAGCTGCAAGATTTTTGTACTCCTTTACTTGTATCTGTTGTTGATAAAATCTGTTTTAAACAGATAAATGACAAGAAAAGATGTGATAGTCATGCAGTATTTCTGTCTCAGTAATAATACAGGAGAAGGAAGTGGGCAGTTGAAAGACAAATTAGGAATTTTTATCAGAGTGGAGAGACAAACTGAAGACATAATTACATTTAAAAATGGAAATAGCTAGTTAAGAGTTAAAGATGGGAATATACTTCATTCACAGAACGGCAGTAAGAAATAACATGAACATATATCAGTAAATGACCAGGAGAAAAACAAACAGAACAAACAAACAAACATTTTAAATTAGAGCCACAGAATGTAGAACTGCATGCTGTATGGACAGCACATTTGTACATGTATTGTTGTAACTCCTAATTCTAACAAATGATTTAAGCACAATACCACCTTTTATTTCTTCAAATAGCAGAAATATTGACTGAGATCCATGATATTTGTGTCAGGAGCAGGTTTCATACTCAGTGGGAAAGCAGTTTAAGATTCTTTTGCTGAACTCAGTGTTTTCTGGTATTTCTTTCCGCCTGCTGTCTCACAGTACCCTATGTCCACCATTATAAAGCCACAACAGTTTGTGGTTCTCACTGAAATAGATTCCATGCCTGAGTAGCACACACCAATTTCTAACCCACCTAATGCACCTTCTTGTGTTTGGCCTCATTTAGTTGATCAATTAGAGCAAAGAAGTAAAATAGTTCTTATATCCAAAGACAGAGAAAGATGTCAGCTTTAACATGTAAAGTGGGTCTAATTTTTATTGTTAGCAATGGTTTTGTGCTTGGCTTTTGTAGGTACTTTGTATCCTTCTCTAAAGAAAGGAGCTGAAATACCTGATGCACAAGATGTTCTTTCCAAGATAACAGAACACTGATAACTTTTGGTGATAATGTGAGACCATTCTGCTGTGCAGGTATTGATTAGTTTTGTTTCACTCATGTACTTTGCATAATATTTACTGAATTGGGTAAAATCTAAGACAGTTTGGACTAGAAGTGTTGAAGAAGATTTTCATTACTATGGCTTTGAAGACATTGTTTTGTTTTGTTTTGATTTCAGTTGTTACTCTTGTGAAATCTTATTTGACTTTGTATTTTCCAATCCACTGAAAATTCACTTTTAGATCATAAGACTGAAAATGGCAATGAGGAATGAGAAAGTTTCTTTTAAAATATCTTTTCCAGAGTAATTTAAATGAAGGACTCTTCTGTGCAAATTCAATTGCAAGATGAAATATGGTTAAGAGCAATATACGCTCAATTGAATTTCTCCTTCTTACTATAAGTACATCCCAAGAATGTGACTTATTCAAAGAAGTGGTCTATTTATTGTAGAGTGAGCTTGTTACAGTAGAAAGAAATATTTAAAGAAGATGGAGTGTGTTTTAAGAATTGTTTTCAGAGCAGGTGCTTGGACCTAATCATCTACCTCAACTGTGTGTGAGTCATGCTGCAGGACGCTACAGGAGATTCAGATTAACACGATACATTTATCTCCCAGAATTCCATTTTTATGTTCTTTCACATATATCTCTATTTGTTTAAGGTATTATTCTTGTGCTCATCACAGTAGAGTTTAAAATCTTGCAAAAGTGCACCCAGCAGTCAATACAATTAAAACAAAATTAATACTGCTGAGCTGAAGATTTGACACTTGCTTTTAGATATACACAGCCAGTGATCTGTACATTACCACTTAATATTTTTCTCCACTTTCCATGAAAGTTTGGTCTAATCTTAAGATATCAAGTACTATGAATCTCACTCTTATCTCTGACAAGATTCTGGATTCTTCTAGTTGTCATTGTATTGATATTCTAATGGCCTTCTGTATAGAAAAAAAATTCTAAACCAATATCAAAAATATTAACGAAAGTGAAATAAGAGAGAAGCATTGCAAATTCTACTTTAATGTGAGATAATAACAAGACATAAGGATATAGTATTATTTCTACATTTTTTCTTCATGAAACCAAGTCCATGTCTATACGGGCCCTCTGTATATGCATCTGAAGCTTCAAATTTAAATTGTGTATGTATAAATTAGTTCAGTGTTGTATTTTATACTCCGCTCAATAAAGCAAATGACATAAATCAAGTTGCCTAGCTGCTACAGGCATTTCAGACAAAATGAATCACTCAATCTGTCCATCTATCTGATATGCATTGCAACAACATTCGTCAAATTATGGCTTGTATCATAACTAGTATAGCCAGAGCCGGTTGTCTCTCTATACTGAACACTGGTGAGGACACGCCTTGAATACTGTGTTCAGTTTTTTGGGCCCCTCTCAACACGAAAGACATTGTGGCCCTGGAGTGTGTCCAGAGAAGGACTATGAAACTGTGTGGGGTCTGGAGGACAAGTTTGATAGGGTGAGGCTGAGGGAGCTGGGATTGCTCCATCTGGAGAAGAGGTGGCTCAGAGAAGATCTATCACTCTCCACAGCTCCCTGAAAGGAGGTTGTGTTGGGGCGTCAGCATCTTCTCCCAGGGGACTGATGAGAGGGAATGGCCTAAAGTTGTACTAGGGGACATTCCAGTTGGACATTATGAGAAATTTCTCCTCAGAAAGAGCAGTGAGGCCTTGGCACGGGCTGCCCAGGGAGGTGTTGCAGTCACTGTCCCTGGAGGTGTTCACAAACCGTGTGGATGTGACACTGAGGGACGTGGTTAGTGGGCATGGTGGGGATGGCTGATGGTTGGACTAGGGGAACTTAGTGATCTTTTCCTACCTTAATGATTCAGTGATTGTACTGTTAGTACAAGAACTGTTCCAGAACAGGCAGAGCAGAATTCTCTCTCTCATGGAAACAATTACTAGGAAATCCCTGTATCTCTGCTGTTCACTAAAGTGTCAATCACAAAACTCCTCAGTGGTTACAGATTACTAGTGTGTACTGCATTCTACTGTAGTGAGAAACGCCTAATTTCAACATCTAGCAACACTGGGCAGCAATTCTGCGTTTCCATTCTCCTCACCCTACACCTGATGGAGCCGAACACCTTCAAGCAGCAGATCTGGATGCTTATGCAATTCGACTCTGCTGCTCTTCCGGCTGCCCGCCAGCACCTTGGCACTCGCCTCCGTCAGTGGCGGCGTTGTGGGGAGGAATGGCGCTGCCCCTCGTCACTTAGCAACCCGCGGAGGCTGCTCACTAATGCATGAAGAGGAGTAGAGCACCGGCACGGGGTCGCACAAGGCCCACACAGAAGGGTGCAGCGCCAACGGTTCTTCCCGCCCTGCCGTCACATGACACGCACAGGGACCCTCGCGGCCCCCGCCCGGGCGTTACAAGAGCCAGCCCTCGCGGCAGCCAATCGGGAGGATGGGTTCACTTCTCCCTCCCCTCCCATTGGCCCGCGGTAGCAGCAGCAGCAATAAGGCGGCGGCATCGTCTCTCCGTTGGGTGCGCGCTCGCCGCCGCAGTTCTGCAGTCCGCCGCTGCCGCGGCTCGCGCACGCTCCAACCGCCGCAGTAGCCGGGGCTCGGCGGGGCGGGGCCGAGAGGCTGCAGGGGCTGGGCGCGGAGGTGGCTGTCCGCCGGCAGCCGGGATGCTGCCGCCGCCGCCGCCGCCTGCGAAGAGGGAGCGGGCGCCTAGCGGCGGGAGCGGTCCCCGAGCCCCGCGGCAGCGCTAGGGGACCCTTCCCGCTCAGGCCGTCGCCTGCTCGGCTCCGCGAGCCCTCCGCCGGGCGGTGGGAGCGGCAGGAGCGGAGCGCAGCCCTCGCCCCCGTCCCGCCGCCGCTCCATGGGAGGAGCCCACCGCCGCCCTGCGGGAAGCGCGGCCGCCGCGCGCCGGGATTGAGGGGAGCGGGCGGCTCTGAGACGGCGGGAGGATGCCCCTGTTCCGGAAGGTGCTGCGCGTCTCCAATCGCTCCATGCTCGCGTTCATCTTCTTCTTCTCCTTCTCCTCCTCCTGCCTCTACTTCATCTACGTGGCCCCTGGCATAGGTAAGCCGGCCCGTTGTTGGGGGAGGGGAGGCGGGCCTCAAGGACCCCCGCTGTACCCGTGGTGGTGTGCGGGGCCGGACGCGCTGCTGCTAACCCCGCATCTTTGTTGTGCTGCCCTCCGACGCTCTAGAAGGTTCATCTGGCGTCGCGACGTGGGCAGTGCTATTCCTGCTTGCCAGGCCAGGAAAGTGAGGTGAAAACGCTGCTGGCCGTAGCGCCGCGCTGTAAGCTAATGGCAGGAGGAAGGAGTGAGCCGCAGGGTTGCCTGAATGCATCTTTTTAAGGCAACAGTAGCTGCGTAAATCCGTTAAAACGTTTGTCGTTTTCTTCTGTCAGTGGGATGTCTTCAGAGGCTTTGCGCTTGGTTAACTATTACCTTTGAAATCGCTGCTGCAGTGGGGAGATGAGTTATGTGCGAAATGCTGCGTAACACAGTTGCAGGTCTGGGTCTGATAGGGAAGCAAGCCACAGGACTGGTGGGGTGCTGTGTTCTTAGCTCACCTGTGCTCTTCCAGGGAGGGCATCAGGCTCTTCCTCACTGGACGAGTCCTTCAGAACTGGCTTATGTTTCCTGAGATAAGAAATACCGTGTGTGGTGCTCTGTGGTATTTTGCCGTGTGGTGTGTCTATTGGCTAGGCTGTGCTTCCCCTTTTTCAGAGAACGTTGATGCTATCTCTTGCACCTCTCCGGATTTGTCAGGGCCTTCCCGAGTATCTGTAATGCTGTCTCCCTGTCATCTCTCTGTCTTCTCTTAGTGCTTAAAACTCCTCTCCGCAGTCTTTGCTGCAAAATGTAACTCCTGATTAGGTGGCTAAATCTTTGCAATAATTGTGTCCTGCTGACTGCTGTCCTCTAGCTGTTCAGCTTAACTTTTGTTTCTGATCTAATAGTGGTAGGACAAGGAGGAATGGCTTTAAACTAAAAGAGAGGAGATCTAGGTTAGGTGTTAGGATAAACTTTTTTCACACAAAGGCATTGAGGCAGCGGCACAGCTGCCCAGATGAGATGCAGTGCCCCATCCCTGGAGGTGCTCAAAGTTGGATGGGGCCCTGGGCAGCTGAGCTGGTGGGGGGGACCCTTGACTAGGGGTCAAGCGAAGTGAAATCAACAGTGTATACCAGAAGAATTCTTGAGGTAGGTTGTTCAGGCCTAATCAACATTTAAAAAAATAAATAAATAAAAAACTTAAACTGCAATCTCAGATCTGTTATAGTCAGCGCTATCAAGTCTTGTTTTGCAATAAAGGAAATCTTCAATAGTTAAATGAGTTTGTGAGATTGCAACTCTTTCCAACTACTGCTCACTGGTGTGCTGCTCTATATACGAGAGTTCAAAATGCTACCATCCTGAGCAGGTCTTACTGGGGTAGTAAAAGTACAAAATGTTGAAGAGAAGGACAGAAAGAAAATTTTAAACTGGTAATCTAAATCTGCCAGATTGCAGATGTGATGATTTTCCAAGGATTTGCTCCCAGAAATGTTACTGTGTACAATGGAGAGGAAGAAGATATAATGCTATCTCAGAATAAAGCCTGCAGCCATCCTGGCAGTATTCTTGGATGAATATCTTAATAGTAGCAAAGGAAGATGTGACGGAAAGAAATAGTTTAGACAGGTGATTCATGTAATAATTGCATGTGGTATGCACGTGCTATTTTCAAATTGCTACATGCTTTTTGCCTTCCATTGTGTGTAATGGAATAGGTGTATCTAGATCAGAGTTGATTGTGCATGAGGAGGTGAAGCATGACAAAGATTGTTTACTGAAGTTCAGCCAGCAGCATTTTATGAATATGTAACTATGAATGAAAAATTGGTAAACTCAAAGCAAAAGTGAGATATCTATAGAACTTTACTCTGCAGTTATCATAAATAGTTGTAATCTGTCGTAATTCCTATGTGCAGATGTGTTCTAGTGAACAGATTGGTTGGTGGAGGTGGTTGAGTCACCGTCCCCGGATGTGTTTAAAAACCATTTGGATGTGGTGCTCAGGGTCAAGATTTAGCAGAGGGTTGTTAGAGTTAGGATAGCATGGTTAGGTCATGGTTCGACTCGATGATCTTAAGGTCTTTTCCAACCTGAGTGATTCTATGATTCTATGCTTGGTTCACCAGAACACTTTCTCCCTCAAGATCCAAGACATGGCAGAAGGGAAGACAGAAGTGTTTTCTCTTCCTACTGAAGGTGGGAATTGAAAAGAGGGAGAAGTTGATCTCCCAGTTGTATGAGAAGAAAAGTACGTACATTATGTAGTAGAGTGGCTTCCTGAAATGACAAAATCTGAATGAAGACTTAATTTTTACTGGTCTAATGGAATGGAGTTCCCTTCTTGCACACAGTTCTTCGCTTATCAAAAGGAGAAGATGTCCACACAAGGAATTCCTTAGCTCTGGGGAAGTTTTTGGAGAGGTCACTGTTGCATTCCCTCTGTTAAAGGGTAGCATCTATACTTTTTTAAGTGAAACTGCAGGTTTTGTGAATTTGGGATCCAGATAGTTTGTTTAGAGGAAAAAATCTCAACCACTTTCTTGAATGTTTTTGCTTATTGCTGAAGTTTAGATACTTTTATTTGCACAGTAATTATATGTATATCACTGATTTCTGTTGTTATTTTTAGGGGCCTAGCAGGATATTAGTTCTTGGGGAAATAGAAGCTTTTGTTTTCCTGTGTATTTCAGAATATGAGGAGTAGAAAAGCATTTGTGTCAGGTTTTCAGTCACTACTGTGTTTTTTGAGACTAAGACATGTAATATTCCATACCACATAAAAATTTAGGGCTTACTGAGAAGAATTCGTGCACTGTTTTACGTGCACTTCCTCTTCCCTGTTTTACAAGAAGAGAAGATGGAGTGGAGTAGAGATGGTTGCAACCTTACCTCAGTGCTCCTTGTCTGCTTTTGATAGTCAGAAGAACTGAGTTTTGAGTTTACATAGTGGAATGTCTCCAAAGATGAGGAGAATCAGACAAAGATAGAGGGCTCTGATGAACAAGAAAGAACACCTGCTGATTTTATTTCACTGCCAAGCCAATCTGGTAGTTGCCAGAGAGATTTATCTTTTGACCTTTATTTTTCAACTTTTCTATCAGCATCATAACTGAAATCTCATACACTGTAACATTGTAATCTCTTGCTCACCACTGAGGGTTTCTTTTTTTTTTCTGACTTCAGCAGAATACTTCTAGCAGCATCTTACAGCTCTCAGTAGTCAACTGCAGTCTGACTTGGCCAGCTTGGGTGTAACGATGTTATAGCACTTGTGGGAACTGGGTATGAAGCAGTGCAGGGATTGTGGAAGATATAGTCTGTTTTTGACCTCAGTGAGGAGAAAGCCTGAGCAGTGAATGAGACTGCTGAGGAAAAACACAGCTACTGTTAACCTCCTCTGTCATTCCTAGCCAAGGAGCAGCTTGCTAGCTAGGCAGGACTTTGTAACATCTTCATTGGTTTCAGCATACAAGTTGATCTATTTAATATCTTTCATTCCCCTATTCACTATTTGGAAATGATTTACCTGATAGGAGAAGACTATACCAGTCCTTTTCAACTTGTGCAGAAATGGAGGGAAGAACTGAAAATGTGATCAGTAAGATAAATATTTGCCAGTGAATGATTCCAGGTGCTGAGCACATAGATACAGGCACAGCTTCTGTGTTGCTGGCATCTTTATCATTTGTAATTTTTCCGAAGACTTGCTGTTTGATCACAGAATAATTTAGGTTGGCAGAGACGTGTGGAAGTTACCTGACCCAACCTCCTGCTGCAAGCAGATCATACTAGATCAGATTGCTCATGGCCGTGTCCAGTTGAGTTTCAAATATCTCTTTGGACAACTTGTCTCAGTGTTTGACAATTCTGAGAAAGTTGTAATGTTGTTGGAATTTCCCATCTTTTTGTCTCGTGTTCATTGCCTTGTATATTGTTTTCTATCTAGCTCTGAGAAGCATTCAACTTCATCTTCTCAGTGTTTCCACTGTGTGGCTGAAAACGCCAAAAGTGCACCTTCCCCATAGTCATTTCCTGTTAGGACTGAAAAACCCATGTCATTCAGTTTCTGTTTCTATATTACCTAATCCATCATTAAGATTTTCCCCTGGGCTTGCTCTGGTGTGTTGAAACCTTTCTTTTACTGGAATCCCCATACTAGCTGTGGTATGCTAATACAGTCTCACAAGTTGCTGTACAGAGACTCAGTGCCATTGACCTAAAGGCTATGCTGTTGCTAATGCCACAATCATTTTAAGCTCAATCTTTATCAAAGGCTTTAGTTGGAGGAAATTGTTTCAGAATTAGCTACTGAATTATTTAACTTGCTATATCATCAGCTAATTTTCTGATGATGGAGGATAGAATGGAGCATCCTGAGGTGGAAGGGGCCTTCATTGAATCCAGCTCCATGTAAAGCATGTAAGAAGTTGTATTGAAGATTGTTTTGGGTATCACACTTAAAATATTTGATTGTTTTTGTTCTTTACCCTTAAGTGGAGACTTGACCAGTAGGTTGGCCTTTCTTACTGGCTCTGCTAAGTAGATAACTGATGTTTATTGGGTCCCTCAGACTTGGAGCCAGAGGACTCATCCATTAGGCACATTCTGTGACAGTAAGTATACAGACATTGTCTGGAGTAGTGGAAAAAAAACCACCACTGTAAACAATTCTGAAACCTCTCTGTGGTATTTGGTAAAGATATGTCTACGTGCATCATATGAATGATCTCTGTTAACCTCCAGGTACATCAGTCATTGTTGGTTTGCTTACAGATTAAGGTGATCTGTGTCTTTCTAATATATTTTCCTTACAAGGATGTATATGTATGCAAACTTGAAAGCAGTCTCATCACACCCATGAAATAAGTGTTCATTGATTATGAAATTACAAACACTGAAAATTCATTTTAAATGTTCAGCAGTAAATCAGGCCAAAAATAGGTTTCAAGGCCTACACACTTTTCTTTTGTTGTTGTTGTTGCATATGTTTTAAAAACTTCTGATTAACAAC